ACGGTGGCAGAATGCCAACTGCGGGTCCTGGGTCCTTTTCATTTTTTTTTTTTTTTTTAATTGCCACAGACAATTGCACTCACCAGAGAGAAAAAAAAAGAATGAAAACCCATCCCCCAATGGGGCATGGACATACTCGGTGTTTAATCTTCTTTATCTCTGTCCTATCAGGATTTGGGGTACACATGCCCTGAGTGTTTTTCAAGCTGCCAGGGCTGGGACTGAAACCAGTCATCCAACGGAGATCCAGCTCCCTTAACCGCTAGTACACAGGGCCGGCCCCCATTCTGGCTTTAAGATTTAATATTTTGGGCTAGGCAGTGATTTGGTGGTTAAGGTGGCAAGATGCTACATGGCCTCCCAACCCCAGTGGCTTAAGGAACATACTAGGATGGGGCCAGAAGATAGTGCAGCGGTTATGTCACTGGACTCCCAGATGGCCAACCAAGGTTCAAGTCCCTGACCTGGTGGCTTGAAACTCACGCTGGTCACACATGCACAAGTGTCCAAGATCCCAGTAGGAAAGTGGAAGAAAAAGGAATTGTGGCATGGGGGGACATTTTCTCACTTTCCCTCTGACTCTCTCTCTCTTTCTGTCTCTGTCTCTCCAGTGAGTGCATGCATCCTAAGGCAAAAACCTCTTAAAATAAAAAATGCTGAGCCCTTGTGTATGCACCCAAAATTCCTAACTTTCCTAACCCCAACCCCTATCTCTCTACAGCTAGCGAATGCACCCTCTAGCAAATTTTTAAAATAAAAAGACTTGATATACTGAATATTATCGTTTATTATCATCTTAAAACAAAAAGAAAATCATTGGAGGTCATTAGAAAACCTACAGCTCACAGAATTGTCTCATAAAACAAAATTATAATACCGAACCTCAACATCTGAACCATGTGGGAGTCTAGCAACTACACAGTTGTCTCCTTTTGTGGTCTCCTACATATTCCTCTGGGCATCTATCATAATACTTTTATTTTCTTCAATAAAAACTTAATGAATATTTTGACGAGTGGTTCCCCAAGTGTGATTCTTGGACCAGCAGCATCAGCATTGCCGGGGAACTTGCTAAGAGGCAGATTCTCAGGTTCCAGCCCATACCTACTGAATCAGAAAATGGGGTGGGCTCTAGCAGTTTGTTTCAACCAGCTCTTCAACTGATTCTGATGCACTCTAAATGTTAAGTCTGCTGCTTTAAAGAAGTGGCTGGCAGAAAAGCAGCATCTCTGCTCTTCTAGAAATGAGTAACTCCCAGAAAAAAATTAAAACTTGTATGGCAGTGGAGCAAAGGCTTAATTCTAAGAAATATAGGATGAGGGGCCAGCAAATGGTGTAGTGGTTAAGGCACTGGACTCCCACATTGCTGACTGCAGTTTAAGCCCTGGACCTGGTGGCTTGAAAAATCACATCAAGCGTGTGTGTGTGCATGCCCAAGATCCCGAAAGGAGAATGAAGGAGATGGGATTATGGTGTGGCCACCCCCTTGAGGGGGTGATTTCTCACTCTCTCTCCATCTCTTTCTGTCTCTCTGGTGAGTGCACGTAGCAAAAATCTCTAAAAAAGAAAGAAAAAGAAAAAAAAAACACAAGATGAACTTTTTTTTTTTTTTTAAGGCTTTTGCCGTAGGACATGTATACTCACCAAAAAAAGACAGACAGAGATGGTGAGAGGGAAAGTAAGAAATCACCTTCTGGGGGGATGGCCACACCACAGTCTCTTCTCTTCTATTCTCCTGCGAGGATTTTGGGCATATATGCACACACACCCAGCATGAGTTTCAAGCCACCAGGTCCACTATTTGAACCATGTTCAGCCCTGCTAGACCACCTGCTGGCCCCCAAAATGAACTATTAAAAGCTCTACTTCCAGGGCCAGCAGGTAGCGTAGTGGTTAAGGTGCTAGACTCCCACATGGCTGAACATGGTTCAAGTCCTGGACCTGGTGGCTTTAAACTCATGCCAGGCACATGTGCATACATACCCCAAATCCTGAAAGGAAAATGGAGGAAAAGGGCTTACAACATAGCTGTCCCCTCTGGGAGGGGGGTATTTCTCACTTTTTCTCTCTCTTTCTCTCTCTCTCTGGCAAACACAAGAACCCTATGGCAAAATAAACAAACAAAAACAAAAACTCTACTTCCTCATGACTATACCTTTTCTTATATTTAACTTTATTCATTTATTTATTTTTAACTTGATCAGAGAGGGACAGAGTGAGAGCAAGAGAGACAGAGAGGGGGAAAAAAATGAGAAAGCAAGCCACCAGGTCCGGGACTTAAACCATGGTCGGCCATGTGGGAGTGCAGCATCCTTAACCACACCACCACCTGCCAGCCCATGACTGTATCTTTTATCTCAGCAGCTTATAAAGGCCCTGACAATGCTGAGCCAGGAATCTGCCTCGGAACCATTTCCACCTAGTCTAAACTGCTTTTCAAGCCCGATTTCCGGTCTACTATATATAAATTAAAGGCAGATGAGAGGATGCAAACTCAAGAGAATGTCAAATGAACTTATTCCTGGGTTTATTACAAACAAATGACTCACAAACTCTTCCTCTCTTCTACACATTCCAAACCTATTCTCCTCTGATGTAAAAACAAAAGTCTTGCACTCTTGATCTGTGTGTTTACAGTTTTCTTACCAGGTCTAGATATTAAACATAACCCAGTTTGAAGGCCTAAAAACAGTTCTTAGTACTTACACAAATGGCTTTTCTCCAGTATGAATCAGGACGTGGCGACTAAGATGGTAGTCCCTGATGAAGGCCTTGCCACACCCATCATAGTCACAGACGAATGGCCTCTAGCAGGAAGAAAAGGGGAAAAAACATGTTACTCCTGTCCTAGTTAGTAACTCTGGTATTATTTAAAAGCCTAAAATGTCTAGCAGGCAAAGCTACAGACTGCATCTCCAGTATCCAACATGCACGGTTTCCACTCAGTATGTAAAGCACCTGCTGTACCCGCCAAGGTAAGACACAGAATGCCTGAAGTTACACGGCGTACAAGGGGCCTTTGCATAGCTCACAGAGGGCCAGCCTGAGACTCGGTGGTTAAAGAGGCAGTTGGATACCACATGGCTGACCATGTCATTGAAGTCCTAGACCCATCAACCTGAAAAACATGTCAGACGTGTGTGCGTAGTGCCCAAAAATCCCAAAAGGAAGAAGAAACAGAGAAGGGATTGTGACATGACCATGTCCCACGGGAGGTACTTTCTAACTTTCTTCTTTCTTGGCAAGATTTTTGCTATAGGTATGTGCACTTGCCAGAGAGAGAGAGAGAGAGAGACAGAAAGCGAGGAATCATTCCCCAGGAGGGATGACCATACCACAATCCCTTCTCTTCCATTCTCCTCTTGGAATTTTGGGCACGCACACACACGCACCTGGTGTGAGTTTTTTAAGCTGCCAGGTCCAGGATTCGAACTGGCTATGTGGGAGTCCGGCAATGTAACCATTACACCATCAGCTGGTCCCTTTGCTCTCTGGCAGTGTACATACCCACCAGCAAAATTAAAAACAAACAAACAAAAAAACTCATGGAAAATGTATTATGAATAAACTGCATGAATTTCAGTTTTGCACAAAATAAATTTTCATTCCATGTTTCCATGAACTTTCTGAATCGTCGTAAATGCCACAACTTCACAAAGTCAGTGCAACAGAATTTGAAAGGATAGCATTTGGAGTAAGTAAGTAGCCTTCACAAACACTGCACTGCATTACTAACGTGCTCCTAACCTGACACCAGGCTTCAACAGCTAGCCCTGCTTACTGGTAGGACCACCCCATCCAATGACACTGGCCTGCCTTCCACACCCACAACCACTGTAACCACCACTTAGGATCCAGGAGGTCAGAGGGGGAACTCCAGTCCAAACCTATAGGAAAACTCAAAACACATCCTCCCAAATAACCAGTTCTGTGTATGCGACTACAGAAAGCACACCACGACGGCTCCAGGAGTGAGGTACCAAGGCCTCAGTGAGAACACTAGGCGTGAATGGGCTGGAAAGACACGGGCCAGCTGTATTACCAGCAGTGCCACCACAGAACCTTCCACGGCTCGAGTCATGGAGTAGCCACAATAAATGTTTGTCAAAGTAGTCAGCCTGAGATTTGAGACAACGAAGATGCCGACTCCAACTTTTCCAACCTGCGTGAAGAAAGCTGGTAGTGTCAATATCCAGATACTGCACACAGGTCTAAATGGAAAGCCATGCTCTAATTTGTACGCACTGATTATATAAAGGCCAGGAATATGAGAAAGGGCAAGAGGACAGACAGGGAGGCAGCGCATTAAGGATGTTGAGTGAAGCCAGTCACTGGGGAAGACTTCCAAGGGAGAGCTAAGTGGAAATGAAAACGCAGAGGGAAAAAGCTGCCAGTGAAAGGAGCCAATAAGGAAGAAGAAAAGAGCAGCACTTCAACCCTAAAGACCGGCTAAGGAACGGGGGCCAGGAGATACAGAGCAGTTGGTCCATAAGTTAGAATAGGCATAAGGTGCAAACGCAGGGACTACAGGCCCTGGTTTAAGAAATTAAGGGCTGGACCAGCAGTTAGCATAATGGCTATGTCGCTGGACTCCCACGTAGTCGACCGTGGTTCAAGACCCGGACTTGGTGGCTTAAACTCATCCCGGGCATTGTGTGCGTGTGTGCCCAAGATCCTGAGAGGAGAATGGAGAAGGGATTGCGGTGTGACCATCCCCCCGGGGGGTCATTTCTTGCTTTCTGTCTGTCTGTCTCTGTCTGTCTGGCGAGTGCATGCGCCCTACAGCAAAAGCCTCTCAAAAAAATAAAATAAAATAAATTAAGGGCCTTGGGACCAGCAGATAGCAGAATGGTTGTTGCATCGCTGGACTCCCAAGTGGCTGACAGTGGTTCAAGTCCCAGACCCGCATGCGTACCCAAGATCTCCAGAGAATGGAGAAGAAGGGATTGCATTGTGGCCATTCAATTGGAGGGGGTTTGGTGAGATGATTTCTCGCTTTCTGTCTCTCTGTGGAATACACTCGCCCTTTCGTAAAAATCTCTCTTAAAAAAAAGAAGAAAGAGAGAGAGAGAGGAAGAAAGAAAGAAAGAAAGAAATGAAGGGCCTTTAGCTGAAGATGTATGAGGCCTGGCTCTCTCACACTGGGAAAGTGGGCAGCTTCATCGACCTCCACAAGTCTTGCTGTCCTCACCTGCAACACAAGCTGCCTTGTCAGGCCAAGGAATCTGACATCGCAAAGGCTCCTACTGCCCTCAAGATATAATCCAAACTCCTACCCTCACCTACCTCTCGGACATCCTCTGGTGTGATCACCCATCCAATGACACTGGCCTGCCTTCCACCCTCACGACCACAGACAGGCTCCCTGTGCATCTGTCACTGGACTCATCTGTCTCCACAGCAAGATCCCTCCTTACACAGAGGCCCTGCCTAAGGGCATGAGCAGCACTCCCTTTACTGCACCTCACGTCTACCCATCTGTCCACGTGAACTACTAAAGCCCAAGGGCCGAGGCAGCAGAAGCCTCGCCTATTCCATTCACTGCTCCCTCTGGTACTGAGTTATTAAAGAATGAAGGCAGGCTACTTGCCAGGCCCAGGTACATAGATGTTACCCTCTGCACCCAGTCCAGCAGGCTAAAGCTTAAGATAGGTGTCACCAAATTGTGCATGAGTTAAGGGATTATGGGGAAGTGCTTGACTGGCCAAGATTTAAGATCAGTCAGCGTAATGGCTATGTCGCTGGACTCCCATGTGGTCTACCCCGGTTTGAGTCCCAGACCTGGTGACTTAAACTCATCCCAGGCATGTGTTGGTGCATGCCCAAGATCCCCAGAGGAGAAGAGATGGCAGTAGGGCCATCCTCCCTTTGGGGGTGATTTCTCGCTTTCTGTCTCTCTCTGTCTTTCTGGCCAGCGCAAGTGCCCTATAGCAAAAACTTCCCAAAAAAAAAAAAAGATTAAAGAGTAAAGAGTTGCTTCGTAAGCACTGCTGTCCCACAAGAAAGGTTCTGGAACTTCTTGTCCACTCCCTCAGCTTCTTAAGTCCACGATACCAAAGCCGAACATGTCTCACTTAGCATAGCCTGTGGCCCTGAGCACCGGGCACACCTGCAGTGGCTGTCCTAGTGCTACGCGACACGGTCCCACATCGCTAGCTACCGCTCCCCAGGGTCACAGGGCTGGACGCCACGCCCCTGCGCGGGGTCGGGCCTCGTTACCTCCCCCGTGTGCTTGCACAGGTGAGCGTCTAGCTTCCAGGCCTTGTTGTAATTGGCGCTGCAGTCGGGAAAGGAGCAAATGAACCTCTGAGCGACAGCAGGCGGCGGCGGGGGCGGGGCTGGGCCCTCCCCGGCTGCGATGAGTGCATCCACGACCGTCGCGGCGGGCACCGCCTTCGCGACCGAAGCGGGCGGCTCCAGGGTGCCCCGGTCTCTGCGCCAGACGCGCACCCACGTGTCGAGCCACGTGCCGCGAACAAGCGCGCGCGGCAGACAGCGCCCGGCGAGCCGGAGCACTTCCGGGAACGTGGCCCCGGCGGAGCCGGGCGGGGCTTGGAGCGTGAGTGCGTAGGCGGTACGCTGCGCTGTGTCCCGGCGCATGCGCAAGTAGGTCCGCTGTGGCGCGCACCCTGAGTGAAAGGGGTTGGGTTAGTGTGTTGGGGAGTCTTGTGCGTCTTTTGGCTGCTGAAGTGCTGAGCTACTGCTTGAATGTAGTTCATTTCTCATCCGCCACCCAAGTCCACTGCAAAGTCCTATCCTTGCATGGTTTAGTCTGTTCTTAGCACATTGCCTATTTATCCTCCGTTGTCTTGGATTCTGTCCACTCCCCCTAAGGAAGCCCCAGAACGTTGCTCACCTAGCTTGTCTGCTCCCTGGAACCTCACGGCGATCTTTTCAAAATCCCAAACCCCAGAGAATACCTGCACCAACTAAACTACAATTTCGGGGAGAGTCGGAAACAGGTCACTACTTGAGGGAACTCTCCAGGTGATTCTATTAATAACAGAATTTGAGCAGCACTGTTGAGAGGCTTGAATGAATGCAGGAAACTTGGTTTATGAGGGCTCCTTGTCTAAAGGATGTCCGTGGATGAAGATAATAGTGACAAGTGGGATTGTCTGATTCCACTAAATCGCATTTTTCACATCCTACATCATTCCAAATCATGACGCAAGCCCCCGTGTGAATCTGAGGAACAAGTCCCTGGGCAGATCTGTAGTTTTGAAAATAAGCCAGGGCCTAACAGTTCTGAACTGGAATCCTCACTTCATACTCACTCTGAGCCTCAGTCTCCTCATCTTGAATGTGGGAAAGATAATAGCGCGTGTCTCATAGGGGTCTCAGGACGGGACTGTGACAGTGTCTGTGATGTGCATCCCCTGTGGCTTTCCTGCATCGGCACCAACAGTCTGGAGTGGTTTCCCTTGAGCTGGTTCTGGCCTTTTCCTCCCATGCATCATGAACAGGGCCAGGGTGCTTGGTGACTCCTGGATCCTCTTTCTTCTTGGCCTCCCAAGCCTACACAGTGCACCCATGGCTCTTCTCTTGCCTTCTGTTTGTTTATTTAGTTATTGGCTTCTTGGCCAGTTGTTCTGCCTTCTTAACCTGGCACCCAAGTTCATGTTCTCATCCCTCTGCTGTGATGTATTATGTAGCAGGAGAGCACTGGCTTTCAGCCTCAGACACCTGACCTTGGATATTAACTCTAAATGTACTAACTTTAGGTCTTTTCTTTGGGGGGGGGAATTTTTGCTATAGGGCATGTGTGCTCTCCAGAAAGAGAGAGACAGAGAGACAGAAAACGAGAAATCACCCTCCCAAGGAGGGATGGCCACGCCACAATCCCTTCTCCTCCATTCTCCTCTCAGGATCTTGGGCACGCACATGCGCCCAGAGTGAGTTTAAGCCACCAAGTCCGGGACTCGAACTGCAGTCGTCTACATGGGAGTCCAGCAACATATCCATTATGCCAACTGCTGTTCCCCTAACTATAGGCCTTTGAATCTCTTTTTCTATCTCTAAACTGGGATTATTTAAAACCCACCTGTTGGGACCAGCGGTTGCTGTAATGGCTATACCACTAAACTTCCATGTAGTTGACTGTGTGGTTCAAGTACCAGACCTGGTGGCTTAAGCTCATGCCGGGCACGTGTGCGTGCGTGCCCAAGATCCCAGAGGAGAATGGAGGAGAAGGGATTGCGGTGTGGCCATCCCCCCTGGGGGGTTATTTCTCGCTTTCTGTCTCTCTGTCTCTCTTTCTTTTTCTTTCTTTTTGTTTTTTTTTTTTTTTTTTTGGAGAGGTTTTTGCTATAGGGCACGTGTGCGCTTGCCACACAGAGAGACAAAGAGACAGAAAGCGAGAAATAACCCCCCAGGGGGGATGGCCACACCGCAATCCCTTCTCCTCCATTCTCCTCTGGGATCTTGGGCACGCACGCACATGCGCCCGGCATGAGTTTTAAGCCACAGGTCCAGGATGCGAACCGTGGTCAACTACATGGGAGTCCAGCGACATAGCCATTATGTTAACTGCTGGCCCCTCTGCCTCTCTCTTTCTGTCGAGTGCATGCACCCTATAGCAAAAATCTCTCCAAATAAATAAATAAAACCCGCCTGTTAAGGTCATTTTAACATTTAAATGAGTTTATAGTAACCACTAGTTCTATTTACTGTGTGCCACCTCCATGCTAGTCTCATTTACCACGAGCCTGCAATTATCCAACAACTCTTCATGTAAAGCAGCTGGAGGATCCAGGCCATGCCATACACTCAACCAATGTTGGCCTTTTTTCTGAACTGATCCATGCCTCTGTCTCCTTCCTCTCTGCACTTTACTCACCCATGGACCACACATCTAAATGACAAGTGGATTTTTTAAATGACTTTAACATCATGCAGTTATCTTACATTCAACATTAGTTGTAAATTAAATAATCTCGTTATCTCTGCCTGGCCACACCTTCTTTGACCCTGTAATCCTCTCGCCAGCCTGGAAAACTTAGAACAGTGGTTCTCGACCCAGGCTGCACATTAAAGTCTCCTGGGAGCCTTCGATGATGCTTCTCCAGTCCCCACCCACATCAATGGAATGAGTCTCTGATTCAGAGTGGAAAAATATTGATGTGATCACCCGCTCCTTCCTCTGCCCTTCCCTGGCTGGCTTCTGCATCTGTCCATGCTCCTCCTTCCTGTCTTTACAGTCTCCTGCCTTTAAACTCTCCTACCAGTGGCTGCCAGGACTATCTCCCCATAACACCCAAGACTTTATAGGTTTAAGTTTGCAAGACTGGTATTTGCAAAACATTTTATACTCTTAGCTATACTTCCTGCAGTTCGGGAGACAGTACATAGGAAATGGGGGCCCTGGGCTCAGGTCTCCTCCAGGCCCTTCCTACCCTAGTCACAATTCCAGGCCCAGATGAAATGCTGTGTCAACTTAAATGACAAACAGAGAAAGGGGCTCTGTAAGGAATATGAGGGGACTTCAAAACATTTGCGGGAAAATGGAATTAAAGTGTGAGTTTGTTTGGGTGCAGTTTTTTTTAAAATAAAATGCATTTTTTTTTCATTATATGTGTTTGGTTTTGTTTTTGTTTTGTTTTGCTTTTTGAGAAGTTTTTTGCTATAGGGTGCGTGAGCTCACCAGAAAGACAGAGAAAGAGAGACAGTAAGCAAGAAATCACCCCCTGGGCGGAATGGCCACCCCACAATCCCTTCTCCTCCATTCTCCTCTCGGGATCTTGGGCACGCACACACACGCGCCCAGCGTCAGTTTAAACCACCGGATCTGGAACTCGAACTGCGGCTGACTACATGGGAGTCCATCAACATAGCCATTACACCAACTGTTGGTCCCCACAATAAGCATGTTTTGAAGACCCTTGATAGTTTATTCAGCAGTAGCAGAATAAACATATTTGGTTGTGGGTGCTCTGGAGACTGTCAGTATGTCCAAGGCATGTTGACATGAGGCAAGGAGAAACTTATAATAGCAAACGGGAGAAGTATACATAATTCATTTTGAAACACAAAGAACATTGGTGGAGGTGCTTATCTCAGAGCTGACATCAATTCACTGGTGGAAACCACGTGTCGGGCAAGTGTTCCTGCGCATCTGTCCTCTGACTCACGTAGTGAGCTGCAGTTTGGAAAGTCCTTGGCAAAAATTTCTGTTACAGGCATTTATGCATAAGAGCTCTTCAGAGTCTTTGTAATATGAGGTAGACTTCAAAAAGTTCATGGAAAATGTATATTACAAAGAAAAAAATAAGCATGGATATCTATTTCTGCAGTAACAAAAGCTCATAATTCCTTCCATTTTCCCACAAGCTTTCTGAAGTCCCTTTGTATTTTTTTAAAATTTTTTAAAAATTATTTTATTGAACTTTATTTTTAGGTATTTTAATTTGACCAGAGAGAGAGAGAGAGAGAGATTGAGAGAAAGGGGGGAGTGGGAAACCAAGCTGCCAGGTCCAGGACTCGAACCATGGTCAGCCATGTGGGAGTCCAACACTCTTAACCACCATGCTACCTGCCGACCCCAGTCCCTTAGTATTTCTTCTCATAGGCATGCATGTGTAAGGACCCTCCCTTCTTAGCTTTCGGACACTATTTTGTTGGGGTTTGACACAAGTGAATCCATCTTGATATTGACAACCTGCACACTTCCTCTAGGTAAGCCTCACCGGGTGACTCCAGCCCCCATCCACCGTTTCTGCCTTTGAGCTTTTGTGATACTTTTCTTTCTGAAGCACTCAGTAGACGGTCCTCAAATGTTAGGGCTGTTTTTAACTATTGAGGCACACAAAATCCTGTTTCTTTGATCTTGATGTAATCTTTAAGGGCAGGAACTGTAAGATGTTCTTTATGAATCATCAGCAGCAAGATGGCTTGCTACAGGAAAGGCTGACCGTATTGTTTGTTAATTGAATGAACACAGCCATGAATCCTTTGTGTGAAATCTTTTGTAAATCATATTTTACATGAACACCTTTTTTTTTGTAAAGGTTTTTTTGGTTTTTGGTTTTTTTTTTTGGTTTGTTTGTTTGTTTTGTTTTGTTTTTGCTATAGAGTGCGTGCGCTTGCCAGACAGACAGAGAGAGACAGAGAGACAGAAAGTGAGAAACCGCCCCGGGGGGATGGCCACGCTGCAATCCCTTCTCCTCCGTTCTCCTCTCGGGATCTTGGGCACGCACGCACATGCACCCAGCGTGAGTTTTAAGCCACCGGGTCTGGGTCTCGAACCACGGTTGACTATGTGGGAGTCCAGCAACATAGCCATTACGCTAACTGCTGGTCCCCAGCATGAACACCTTCAACAAGGAATCTTTCACGTGCAGGGACCAAAATCCCACTCAAACTAATCTGAGAAAAAGAGATTCGTTTTAAGGATACAAGGGGAGCTCACTGAATCAATTGCAAAAAGGCCTCAGGATTGGAGAGTTGTCTGCAGATTGTCCATGTTTCAGTCTGTCAGTGCTGGGGTCTGCTGTCCTTGTCTTGCTCCTCCTTTGCTCTCCAGGAGACTCTTAGCTTTTGCATTTACATCGTGTGTGTGTGTGTGTGTGTGTGTGTGTATGTGTCTTTCTGTCTTGCTCAAT